TATTGTTTTGTGCAGGAAGCGCTGTTTTTGCTTTGTTTCTTGTTTTTTTACTTTTTCTTGCATGCTCCCTTAGGGCTTCCTAGTCCAACTTAATTTTTGATTAAGCTTGGAGTAGGATAGACCTTAGGAGTTTAGTCCATGCATGATAACATTAGGTTAGTCCCTTTTAACCTCAACCTTAGGTCCATCTTTTGCATGCTAACATTAGGATAGAAGTTTCCTTTCGCATCCCGACCTTAGGGCCACTTTGCATGATAATATTAAGATCGAGTTACCCTTAGACCTTTCATCCGTCTTTCTCCTCTTCTCATCTCAAAACAACTTCAAAAAACTTAATAAATACGATGAACATTGTGCACCGTGAGCCTTAAGTATATGGGAAATAATGAGTGAGGTGTCTCTCCTTGCTTGTCTAGAGTGTTTAGCGTATGTCTCGTCTGAGGGCGATCATGTCAGCCTCCGTTCTTGTATCATAGACTTTAGTGCAATGTGAATCTCAAATCAAATCAATTCACTTCTCTAAAATTCACAAACAAATGCAAATATTTTTCATCCTCCGGGGTCGTTTTGTTAAACCACTTTCAAAAAGAGTACGTTATTTTTGCGTTCTACCGCAAACAGGCATTGACCCTAACTGCTGAAATGGGAACTTAACATCGCTTATAAAACACACTAAGCAACATGTGGTTAGTCGAACTACGACTGCTCTGATTTCTCATACCAGATGAGGATAGGTAGGCAAAAGGTGATGATGTCTTGGCGAGCAACCTTTCCCCTTTCACTCGTAGTTTTCCGAACTACATTGACTCTGACTTTTCCATTGCACGGGGGAATACGTAAGCATAAGACGGAAATGTCATATCGAGTCTCTTTCTTTTTCCTGTTTTTCGTTCTCGTTTATGTTTAGCAGTAGGCTTTAGATGACACACCCTTTGATTAAACAACAAGCGTGGATCCCGTTCAGTACAACAAATACGAGGGAATATTAATACCTTCCTCTCGCATAACCGACTCTTAAACCCAAGAGACTATTAACACCTCTCGTTATGCAAAGAGACTACTCTATTACCATTTGCTTTTATGGCTTAAATGGTGAAATTAAGAGTGAGGGATCAAAATTGTTGTCTTCTACCGAGGCATCAAAATTTTATTTGCAATAAAAGGTTTATGAAACAGTGAATTTTTTGAATTTGCCTAGTTCCAATGTTCGTTTGAGTTCTCTCACCATGTTTGTGTGTTAATAGTTAATTAAGCCCTTTGATCCTACAGGGTGGGTACCTTCAGAATGTTTTGATGTTTTCCATTTAACATCAGAGTCTCCACCATACTTTTTGGGACTTGAACAACTAGCTCACATGCTCAAATGATAAGTTTTAGATCCTACAGGGTGGTTTCTGATGACGGTGAAAATCACTTGCATCCCCCATCCCAAAACTGTACCTTCAGAATGTTTTGATGTTTTCCATTTAATATCAGAGTCTCCACCATACTTTTTGGGACTTGAACAACTAGCTCACATGCTCAAATGATAAGTTTTAGAACCATATTGGATGGTGTTTGGGAGTGTTGATTCATATGCAGACTGATGACTCCACAAACCATCGAACAATCTAGGTGAGTGACAAACTTGAAGTATCTTCACTACTATCAATGTCTTCATCTGTGGTGACATACTCAAGTTTCCATGACCTTTCCACTCCTATAGCAACCTTACTAGTAACAACTTTCTTAGCACTTCCTAAAGAACCAGCCAATGAAAAGAGCATTAAATAGACCAATTTACATTTTTGTTGACAATTTGTATTTTTAAAATTTAGTTTGTATAACTCCATTCAATTTAAACTAATGAAATAAGATAAAATACAGTTTTTAGATATTCACGCTTACAATATACATACACATGTAATCTTAAATTATTTGCCTCCAAAATGTATATGAAACATTATGTTATACAATGAATGAAATACGTATAACTGCATAATGATTCATTTATGCATTTATTAAGCTCCTTTTGGTTCCTAGAACAAGTGTACACTGTGGCACCAAACTCGGCAAGTTCCTCCACTACAACGTGACCGATTCCACGAGTTCCACCGGTAACTAGAGCAGTGGTTCCCTTGAGGGACCATCTTATGCCTATGCCACTGCTCACTAAGTTCGTCATTGTTGTTTCTGTGACCCTGTCGAGCTAACACGACATTGTTTGTTTATATATGAAAAATTGTGCAGTGTACTGATTTGGGCATAAATATTTTAATGATCTACACTAGTTGTGTTGTGCCCATTGCGGATTGCGGGGTGTTTTCGGTTATCAAATAAAAGAATAATGAAGCATAAATTAACGGAAGAGACTAATGATCACTTGATTTGGCTCTCTATGTAGTAGTGGAGGTCATTAAAGTATTTATTCTTAAATTTGGCTCCTCTTGCTTGATAACTAGTACACCATTGTTGTTTAGTTATTCTGCTAATCGATGCGGTGCGGTGTTGATCGACTTGGACGTGAAAGTTATACATCCAAAACTATGAGAATTCAATTCATTTTTGTTGTTAAGGAAGTTCACCTCTTTTATCAACCAATTGCTTGTGAGAATACAAACTGTGATGTTTTCTTCAGCTGTAATCAATCAAGAGAAGTTTAGTGCAATTTATATAAGCTATAACAAAAGAGTTAATATCTTACAATATGCTGCAGGTAGATTGGAGGTGATTCAATCTTACAATATGAAGTGATTCAATTACTTTTTATCTATCCCTACAAGTCTCTTAAATATTTGTATTCATGCTGGAGTTATCTTCCTGGTACGAATGTATCCTTGGATTAGATGAAATAGAATATGTACATCGATCAGGTGAAAGCAATAACATGCACCTATGCCAAGGGCGGATTCGATAAGAATATGAAACCTGGTTGTCTGGAATATTTATTGGATATTTTTCATTCATGTTTATGCAGGTATGAAAATCGGCTCTCAGAACTGTATGCTCAAATCCAGGTTCGTAAATTCTTTTGATAGAATGAGTTTTTGTGAGGGAGAGAAAAGTGAAAAAATGATGACATTGTTTACTGTTAAATCTTTCTCAACCATATTTCTGGTTCTAATTATTATAGAATGCCCTTGGTATTTGCCATTGTACAGGGAAAGCATCGACAGACTCACAAATATTATTCTACCTACAATGCTCTGTTGGAAATAAAAGAATTGATGTTAAAGGAACCATCTTTTTTGCTCTTATAATTGATATGTATGTTAGATGTTCGATTAAATGCCTCAGAGAAAACCATCTTTTAATAGTGTCTTCACCAATAAGCTTGATGTTGAGGAGCTTGAGATGCTTTTGGAAGCATACTTTGTTCAAATTGATGGAACTCTCAACAAGCTTTCCACGGTATCCTTGCTATGTTCCAGTTCCTTGTTCTATACTTAGCTTTATCTCTTTGTTTTGTTAACAAAATAACAGATACAAATTCAATAGTTCAATTCAACAAGTTAAAACACAAATGCAAATGCAGTAGTTACATTTTTGTGCCTTTTGATCTAGTTGGGTAGAGTAGCTTAATGAATATGTCGTAAACACACAATATTGGGGCCAAATACTCCTTACCCTACCTTAGCCGAACAACCTAAAAATTATGCTAAAATACAGTTGTATAGCTAGGGGAACAGAAGGGGGGCCTATAAGGAGAAAGAACCAAGGAGCTAAACCTAAGTCATTCATTCAGATTTTACCCTAAACACTTGACCTTGAGCATGACACATTGTTGGCAGAGGTCCTAAATATTCCACACAGGAATAAATTAATATTATGGGATTTAAGATACCTAGTTTATATAAATGCTACTGATTTTCTATCTGATATGGTTATCATATATGTTTGTTTGAAAGAATATAGTTTACTTTAGATATAGAATTGACTTGTCTGTTGCTGACACCTTGTTATTTGTCGGTTGTTGTGTTGAAGCTGACGGAGTATGTCAATGACACAGAGGATTACATCAATATTATGCTGGATGACAAACAGAACCATCTCCTCCAAATGGGAGTCATGTTGACCATGGCAACTCTGGTAGTGAGTGCCTTTGTTGTTGTGGCTGGTGTTTTTGGCATCAATATTCATATTGAACTGTTTGATAGTGACAAGTACGGGACAAGAGAGTTTATGTGGACTGTTGGTGGTGGCACTGCTGGAACCATATTCTTGTATGTGGTTGCCATTGCTTGGTGCAAGTATAAACGCTTGCTAGAATAAGCAGCACTCTATTGTGTTCTAAACAATAATGTAATTTAATTGGAAACACATATTCTTGTATGTTTATTTCTTGGCCAATTAATGTACATCGTTGTCGTCGCACATAGCTTTCATTTACAAACAAATTCTCGATTCCCTGATATGCTCCATCATTCTGCAGGTGTTTGACAGTCCTAGATCTGGTGGCTTGATATTTATTGAATTCGTCGTCAACGGTAACAAACTGTCCTTAGCCGTAAATATGTCTCGACATCACTGAGCTTCATACGTCTCTGGTGAGCACAGGTACTACTGAAGGTTCTGGTTAAGCTGCAAATTCAACTTATAATGTACTCTAATGGTGTAAGATTGAACCATGCTTGCTCGTTATTACCGAGATCTTTCAAAGATTAAACTAATTTTCTTACTAATTTATTAGACGTGCAAGCCAAGTGAGAGTAATCAGGTTTGTGATTAATGGTTATATGTTTGTTTGTTCCCCTTCACATTAATGTTGCAGCCTGCTGTTGCACAACATTCAATGTGAAATAATCTCACCATATTCTCTGCTAACTTCAGTTCTCGTTTTGTTTTGACAATTACTTCAGTTCTAGTTGATAAATAATTATACTTGCAATTGAAGAATTGTTACGAGTTGATTCTGCTAGGTTGATTGTTAAGCATTCAAATTTATTGTGTATTTTTACTTGGAAAGCAGAGTAGACGTGCAGTTCTTTTGGAGTTCTTGTTGTTCCATTTCATGCAAGACAATGCTGTGGAGGCATATCAGCTTGCTCTATGGTATGTTATATTAAAATTTAATATATGTCTTTTATCTCTTTGTAGGTGATTTTGATCTCATTTTCAACCTGGCTTGCCTGGTTTTTAGCTGGAAAATATCATGCTTACCCGAAATCCTGGATACCGTCTTCCATGGACAGCTTTGAGCTAGCTCTGCAGTTTGGAATATCTGTGATGGTTATTGCTTGCCCTTGTGCTTTGGGTTTATCTACACCTACTGCTGTTATGGTTGGTACTGGAGTTGGCGCATCTCAGGGTGTTTTGATCAAAGGGGGACAAGCTCTGGAAAGTGCACATAAGGTCAGCATTTGTCTTTAGAAATAGATTATCTCCTTAAATTATTGAATTTCTTTGTCAATGTTTTTTGTGTCATTGTGTGTCAATTTGTCAATGTTGGTTGGCTTATAATTGAACAATGATTGCCAATGTTGCTAATTAGTGCATCTGTCAAATATGTTTATAGTTTATACAATGTTTGCTATGCTCCATGAAAGGATGGTGTCATTGGATATCGATATGTTCATTCTATCTTTTACAACTTTGTATAATATTAAAATGAAGAAAGTGTTCCAACCGTGGATTTGGATTTACATTTGAATATGCCTATGATTGTGTTGTTGTAGGTAAACTGCATTGTTTTTGACAAGACGGGTACTCTCACTATTGGGAAGCCAGTGATAGTAAATACAAAACTATTGATAAAAATGGTACTCCGGGAGTTGACTTGCAGTTAAGAAAATGTTTTAGTTCTTATGATTCCTACAATTTAATGGGTTAATTGCTCAAGTTATTTTACAATTCATGAATTATAGGTGCATATGCATGTCATAAATGATTCCAATTGATCGTTATGTGTGATACATTTAATTTATGATAGTTACCACTCATTCTAAATTAAAAACGTGAATATGAAAAAGGACACAAAAAATTAGAATATGAATGAATGGAGATGTTATATAAAAATATTATATGGAAATGTTCTATGAAAATATGAAGAAAAAAATTGTTTATTGTAAGAATATGAATGAAGTCAATATGAAGACAAATTTTTTTTTTAGAAAGTCAGAAAAGTTTATAAGGTGAATTTATTATAATTACTATAAGTGCTTATTTAATTATCCAAACATACACCTACAAGAAAAAGTAATACACTACATGAAAAGGAATAGAAGACAATGAATTAAAGAGATAGACATGAATATTTGAACAATAATGATGGTTTAATACTAATACATAGAAAGGGGCAATAAATTAAAGAGATAGATACCTGAGTAATAATGAAAGCTAAACTTTGCCGTTTGTGAGGAAGAAAATAGTACTGCTAGGTTTTAAAAGAAACACTATTTTATTGTGAGAAATTAAAAGATAGTATGGTATTTTTTATTTAATTGTACGTGGGACAAATTTTTGTTCGTTACTTTTTTTTTATAAGCAATAATTTATAAAAGAGAGAAAGAAAATCTCTGAACAACAAGAATACAAACAGGACCTAAAATAAGACAGTTATATAAAATTCAACGGAAATTTGAATCAATCGTACAAACTACAATTCTTACTATCCTGTTTACCTAATATCAACCAATTCCATGAGAAAACTTTAATATCGGAAACAATGTCCTCAACTTTGAAAGAAGCATTACTAAAGATAATGTTATTCCTAACCCTCCATAAACTCCAACAAGATATGAACCAAATAGAATTGATCTTGGATTCTTTACAACGACCTAGAAGTCTCGATTTCCACACCTTCGCATGAAGACTACAACAATCCTCCGAAATATACTTTATATCCACCCACTCGCAAATCCTATTCCACACCAACGAGGACTTAGAGCACGAGAAGAAAAGATGAGCTACGTCCTCAAAACTAGACGAACAGAACGCACAATCCGAATTTTGGGAATAATCAATCACTCTTATTATCATCAAATTGGATCTGGTAGGCAGTCTATCAAGCGCCAACCTCCAACTAAAAATTTGGACTTTTGCCGGTAACGCCGTTTTCCAAAGGATCTCCAGAAGAGCAGCACAATCATTTCCAATAATATTAACAGACGAAGATGAGGAAGAGGGTAAAGCAGCATAGAAAGATCTAACCTTATACGAAAGAGAATCATCAAGAAGCCATTTCCAATTGTCGCCGACATTGATGCTGGGAGCCATCCGATCCAACAGCCCACTACATTCTGCCCAATCTGTAGCAGAATTAGATTCGTCATCAATCAACGATTCTCTTACTTTCCAAACCCAGTGACCATCCTCCCAAGAACCCATCTCGTAGACAGACGAAATTTTCCTGGAACAGGCCTGAAACAGTCGCGGGAACCTGCTTTTAATCGGGAGATCTCCAATCCAAAAAGATTGCCTTAATGCCGTGTTGTGGCCTTCTCCAATAGAACAAGCCGTAAACTTGCAAAAGCCCACATTGAAGTCGCAGGTTGAACTTGACATAATATCCTTCATCCAAATAGAATCTATATCCAAGTTACCGACGTCAGCGAAAGTTTGCACCTACATGCTCAAGTTATCGTATCTGAGATTCAAAGAATTTCTCCAAATTTCATTTCCGCCACTTAGAAATCTCCACTTCCACTTTGATATAAGAGCGCAATTAAACCGGCCTATGTGATTAATGCCCAAACCTCCGCAATCCTTCGGCTTACAAATGGAGTTCCAAGAAATCCAAGAAATGAACTTTTTACTAGAGTTCCCAGCCCATAGAAATCGCCTTTGGATTGCGATGATATCGTTCACGATTTTCTTGGGTGCCTTGAAAAAAGCCAAGTAATGAATTAGCAAGTTAACTAAAACCGAGTTTATGAGGGAAACTCTACCTCCCATTGACAAGTTTCTCCCAGCCCAACTAGATAATTAACTCCTCAGACGAGATAAAACCAGGTTCCAAAAGGAATGACGACGATGATTTCCTCCAACTTGGAGACCGAGAAAACTGAACGGCAGTCTGTCAGATTTACAATGAAGAAATTCTTCTGCTGCAGCAAGGAAAGCAGGTTCTACTCCTATACCATAAAGTTAACTTTTAGAAAAATTAATTTTCAAACCAGAAATTAATTCGAACGCACGCAGAACAACCTTGAAAGCCCAAATATTCATAATCGATCCATCTCCTATAAGAAGAGTGTCATCCGCAAACTAAAGTATGCACTCAGTACTTTGATCATTGATCTTGAATGCTATTAACAGGTTACCGGTAGCTGCGGCCCTTACTAAGCAAGATAATCCCTCTGCAGCTATGGCAAACAGAAACGGAGCCAAAGGGTCCCCCTGCTTCAGACCCCTTCCAACCTTGAAATCCTTCGAAAGGCTACCGTTAATAAGAATCGAAACGTAACTCTTGAACACTGACCCTCTAATCCACTTTAACCAATTAGGACTGAAACCCATCTTGACAAGCATTCCATCAAGGTAACTCTAATCGACACAGTCGTAGGCTTTAGCGAAGTCGACTTTGAAGAACAGACAATCCTTTTTAAATCTCTTTGCATAATCTTCTATTTCATTGGCCAGCAGAACCCCATCATAAATTTGCCGGCCTGGGATAAAAGTTGTTTGGGAAGGAGAGATAATTTTATGAATAACCTTGCTCAATCTACCAGCAAACATCTTGGAAATTATCTTGGAGACACAACTAATTAGAGAAATTGGCCTGAAATCTTCAAACTATTGAGGATTTGATAACTTCGGAACCAACAAAATGAAAGAGGACGCAAACATCTTAGGGAGAAATCTTGTCTTGAAGAACTCCAAAATACAATTCGAGAAGTCCTGACCAACTATTTCCCAGCAAGATTTAATGAATTTAAAATTAAAACCGTCGACACCAGGGCATTTGTTGTTGTCACAACTAAAAACAGCCTTTGTTACATCAGAGGAGCTAAAATCGGTTACCAGAAATAGTTGATCATCCTCATCTAATAAGGCAGCCAAAACCAAATCACTTCTGAATAATGTCGACTTAGATTGAAAGAATTTATCCTTAAAGAATTTCACCGCTTCTTCTTTAATATTCTCAGGTTCTTCCACTGTCCTGCCTCCCACGACAATAGCTGAGAGATGATTCAACCTATGCCTGGATTTAAGGGAATCATGGAAAATTTTGGTATTGAGGTCCCCATTTTTGAGCCAACTAACCCGGGATTTCTGGGCTATCATACTTTCTTTGATCCGCATATTCTTCCACATTTCCTCCTGGTATCGCAATTTCCTACTGTCCAGATCAGAAGTGAGCTGATTATACTTATCTTCTGATTCCAGTTCCAGCTTATTGAGCTTATATATATTATCCTCAATGTTCAAATTCATCCAACCAAACACCTTGGCATTCCAAATCCCGAGGTATGATTTAAGGGCTTGTAATTTCCTAGAAAGGATGCTGCAGTAAGATCCTGTAAAATGGTAGGATCGCCACGACTTCGTTACGAACAGAATGAAATCCTTGTGGTAGAACCAACAGTTGAAAGTCCTAAAAGGTTTTGGTCCCCAATTGGTGTAGTTGGACTTCAACCACACCGGTCGATGATCCAATATGTCTCTATCCCCCACCACTTGATTCTTCAGATTAAACAAAGAAATAACCTTGTCATCAACCAATACTCTATCCAGCCTACTTTTGCTCTTACCGTTAGAATTGAACCAAGTGAAACGGCTCCCAAAAATCGGTAAATCCACCAAAATAATTTCCTCAATGAAATCACAGAATTCCTTCATATCCTTGTAATTACAACCACTTAGGCCCTTCCTTTCCTTCTTGTTTTTCACCGCATTAAAATCCCCTCCCACGATCCAACCTACTTCAGGGTAATTGTTCTTAATTAACATCAAATCTCTCCATAGCTTCCTCTTATTAGCTGAACCGCAAGGCGTGTAAACATTGATCACCATCAATCTATGGTTATTCCAAACAAAATTTATGCCTAAGCATTCTTTCCCACTGAAACTAAAACAAGCAGAGATTCTGACAGGATTCCATAAGGTTAGAATTCCACCAGAGTTCCCAATTGAGTTCTGTGCTGACCAATCCAAATCAGCATTCCTCCACATACTAAAAACTGTATTATCCTCCATCTTGATAACCTTGGTTTCCTGAATAAGGCAAATGTCGGCACTTTCTCTCTGAATAATCTAAGATAATCTCCTTCTCTTGATGGGACTACAACAACCTCTAATATTGAAAGAAATTAAATTCATGGATCAATAGTAGCTACATCCTTCTTACCTTGACCAGCTTCCTTATCTGCATTATCCAAATTCCTCAAAGTTCGCCCAATAACCTCTTCAGCTTCGCCCTGAATACCCAAAGTTTTAAGAAAATCACCCAATTTAGATGGGACATCAACTAATGCCCTTCTGCATCTCGAATTACCCCTTTCTACATCAGTGTCGGTGATCGATTCGCAACACCAAAGAACTGAACTTGAATCAGGATTTTCTCTAGACAACTTTTTCTTCATATTATCCTCCCTAATTTTTCCTTTCGAGACAGATTTAGGAATCTCCTTGGGATCCGTGAGAAGAAGAGTGGAAAAATAAGAAGGGGTGTAAGGTATATTAATGCCTTTATAAATCTCATGCAGAGGTTTCTTCTTTTTAGCTTTGCCTTTATCAGCAGGCCCAATAAACCCTCCTGAAGGCCCACTAATTGGATGAGGCAGGCCCAACTCTACCACCAATTCCACATCAAGATTGGGTACCTCGATAATTGCTTTGGATTGAG